CTCTTTGTAATTATCCATATGGTGCCTTCATGGCCCTCTTTGTAACTCTATACTGTGCCTTCATGCCCCTCTTTGTAACTCTATACTGTGCCTTCATGGCCCTCTTTGTAACTCCATATGGTGCCTTCATGGCCGTCTTTGTAATTATCCAAATGGTGCCTTCATGGCCCTCTTGGTAATTATCCATATGGTGCCTTCTTGGCCATCTTTGTAATTATCCATATGGTGCCTTCATGGCCCTCTTTGTAATTATCCATATGGTGCCTTCTTGGCCATCTTTGTAATTATCCAAATGGTGCCTTCATGGCCCTCTTTGTAATTATCCATATGGTGCCTTCATGGCCCTCTTTGTAATTATCCAAATGGTGCCTTCATGGCCCTCTTGGTAATTATCCATATGGTGCTGTAGTGGACTAAGCCTGATGTCAAAACTGACCAGATGGACAGAAACTGTCATTTCATTGATTTGAATCCAGAAATACAGTTTGACCCATCCTGAGACTTTCTGTCTTGAATTAATCAAGTGGAAAAGACAATTCTCTATGATCATTACTATTTTACAAATGTTTTGATAATCAAATTGTGTTAGTTCAAACAATGTGTACATGTTGAAGTGAACTACTCATTTTTATTTACTTAAACAGTAGTAATGATTTTTAGTCCTCAATTCAAAGTGAAATCAAGTTAGAGTACATTACAGAGTAATGATTCAATTTCTTGATCGTCTGCTTTGAAGTGAGCAGAGTTTGTAAGTGTGTTAGAGTTCAGGTTTCGGTCAACTAAGAAGTTTACTGAAAATAAATGTCATGTTTAACTTTCACAGCAGATACTAGGAGTAGAGACGCCACTGAGACTGGTTTTCTCTAACAATCTTTCTGTCTGTTCTTAAACAATCTTAATCTCTATCCTTGACTTTCCATAACACCTTACATCACAAACCACACCTCTGTTCTGGTCCATCCACCAATCAAAAAGCTCTCAATTGAACCGGAAGTATAGCCCGTTTAAATGTGGCAACTTCCCAGTTCAACAAGAGAGTTCTGGAGTAGAGTTCCAGTAGAGTTCAAGAGTTGTGGAATCCAGAGTGCAGGGAGTTTGGGAGTCCGTGAATGCAACCGCAGGCATTCATGGATGCTGCTAAACCAAACAAGCTGAACCAGAGACGATTTTGGGAATTATAACTTCTGTTTGGATAACCTCACACGACTCCTAAGGTTTTAGCTGTTCTCACGGAGACGCTGAAAAGAGTCAAAAGAAGAGCTCTACACCGACGCTGAAGCTATCGTCTGCAAGGTAAAAGTTCTATTTCGACCAAGCGTACCGTTGGCCAAGCTGATTTCAATGGAGCGTGCTGTTCTGGTTAAAACAAACAAATTCCCTCACACATCTCTCTCAGATAAACTTCATCTTTCCATCTTAAACTCTCCTTCTGCTAGAAAATCAATCACCGCCGTGTGAATTGATGTCTGCTGTTCTGCTGAAAAGTGAAAACAATCGCCGTATTGTTCTCACTTCCTGTAAAGCTGATTATGTTGTTGTTTTCATATTCTGCCAAATTAATGTAAATGTTTGATGTTAAACTTTGATTCTGTAAAATAAATGACCGCATTCATTTTGATGGGTCAAAGAAAAATGACGTCTCACGTTACATTTCATTCAATTCAATGCACGTTTTATCCAGTCCAGAAAGATGAGTGAACCCGTTTAATGTATGAATATATCTCAGTATATGTCATACTACAGTGCCTTCATGGCCCTCTTTGTAATTATCCATATGGTGCCTTCATGGCCCTCTTTGTAAATCTGTACTGTGCCTTCATGGCCCTCTTTTGCCCCTTTTCCATTAGTACCGGTACGGGCCGACTCGACCCTACTTGGCCCGGTTCTGAGGCTTTTCCATTAGTACCGGTACTTAGCTCCTGTTACTATTTTCAGTACCCTTGGCTCTGTGGTTCTAACCGGTACGAAGAGGTACAAAAACGTGACGTCAGTACACTGTCGGTCACTGGTTGGTCGGGGGCGGAGTCGGGGGCGGAGTCACTGGATCCTTCAGAAACGTTTCAAAACAATAATCCGCCATTTGCAATTTCTCGACTGGAGCAGCTGCTGGACTTATTTTAAAGATTTTTAAAACAATACTGACAACATCTTGGTCTAATGCTGATGTGCTGGCATTTTTTGTGCTTGGTGGCCGACAACATAATTCAGAGCAAGCTGGATGGAGCTCTGCTGGTGCACCCGATCCTCCCTCCGGAGCCTCGGAGCGCCAGGCCGGGCAGGGCGTCATCTCCCCGGCTCCAAGTTCAGCTGGTCACCGCGGAAGATCCTTCGATGTGCCGACTCGGAGGCTCGGGTTCCAGATACCAGCCTTGTGTGCTCAGAGCTCCGCAGGTCACTGCGAATCTGGAGATGGGGACTCACAGATGGACGTTGCCAGACCCCGGCCGCGCGTAATCATGAAGGCTGAATCCCGATCCCACCCGGCAGTCAGGCGGACTGGACAGTCTGGGACGGACGCTGGAAGCGATTTTTAAATAAAATAACATTTTGTTTTTATACAAAAACTGTTTTAAAAAAATGCTGAAGCGATTTAAAAATTCTTATTATTTTTTTTACACGTAAAAGTTTTTTTAAAATCGCTTCCACCGTTCGTCGCAGACCCGTCTCTGTCCACCTGTCTGTGCGGGTCGGACCTTCATGATTACGCGCAGCTGGAGTCTTGGAACAGCCTCTGGAGTCACCAGCAGAGCTGGAGCTGGGAGGATGAGCCTCCCAGCTTCCTCCTCTCCGGAGGAGAGGATCGTGTGACTGCGGGCAGTGTCGTGCGAGACCAGCAGAGCGTTGAAGATTAAAAAAAAAAAAAGACGGTGCCAGCTTCATCATGAAATCCTGTTTTCACTTTAATGACTGTTAACTCAGCTGAAAATCATAAAAAGACACAAAACTATTGGATATCAGGAATATTTCCCTCAAACATGTTTAAAGAAGAGACGACCTTCAGTTCAACTTTATTTTAACTCACGAATGTACAAATCACAAAACAAGAACTTTAAAGCAAAGCTAAAAATAAAATGTTTATATGTGAACAAGAAAGAAAACCACACATTTAAAATGAACATTAAAAGTAGACACAATGAGTGCAAATACATCAAATGATGATGAAAACCTATAAAAATTTAAATGTAATGTTTTTGTAGAATCTGGTTCATCAGAGTTTTAATTTATATACATATATATATATTTATATCTATAAATAAATATAGATAAATATATATGTATATATAAAAATACATATATATGTAATTTATATACATATATATATATTTATATCTATAAATAAATATAGATAAATATATATGTATATATATAAATACATATATATGTATATAAATATATATAAATACATATATATGTATATAAATATATATGAAAATATATAAATACATATATATGTATATAAATACATATGTGTATATATATATACATATATACATAATTGTGTGTATATACATATGTGATATATATATATATATATATATATATTATATATATATCACATATGATATATATATATATATGTGTGTGT